ATCTGTCTAGTTGGACTGTGAAACTATAATAAAAAGTTAGGCTGATCCTATATTAATGTTATTTAGTCAGACTGATCTTTCGGGCTGGACTGCGAGCCTATAATAAAAAGTTAGGCTGATCCTATATTAATGTTATTTAGTCAGACTGATCTGTCCAGTTGGACCGTGAGCCTATAATAAAAAGCCTATAATAAAAAGTTAGGCTGATCCTATATTAATGTTATTTAGTCAGACTGATCTGTCGGGTTGGACTGCGAGCCTATAATAAAAAGTTAGGCTGATCCTATATTAATGTTATTTAGTCAGACTGATCTTTCGGGCTGGACTGCGAGCCTATAATAAAAAGTTAGGCTGATCCTATATTAATGTTATTTAGTCAGACTGATCTTTCGGGCTGGACTGTGAGCCTATAATTAACAATAGGAATATTCCTACGTTCTGGACAAAAGCTTTAAAATAGTAACATTCCCATGTTCTGGAGAAAAGCTTAACAATAGGAATATTCCCATGTATTACAGAAAACTTAACAATAGGAATATTCCCTTGTATTACAGAAAACTTAACAATAGGAATATTCCCATGTATTACAGAAAACTTAACAATAGGAATATTCCCATGTATTACAGAAAACTTAACAATAGGAATATTCTCTTGTATTACAGAAAACTTAACAGAAGAAATTTTCCCATGTATTACAGAAAACTTAACAATAGGAATATTCCCTTGTATTACAGAAAACTTAACAATAGGAATAATCCCACGTATTACAGAAAACTTAACAGAAGAAACTTTCCATGTTCAATTTAAGAATTTAATATAAACATTTCCGTGTTCTAGAGAAAACTAAAAACTTCTAACGTTCTAGAGGAAAACTTATAAAGATCATGTTAAATTTTATATTAAAAATCTCACAAATCCTACAGCTTTTTACAAATAGGTTAGCTTCTTCAAGGTCAAAATTCAAGATCAGGTATAAAGCTAGGCATAATTTAGAACCAATCAGAAGGTCTTACTTTCTTCATGTCGAGATTTTCCCCATCCTACCACATAACAAGAGGTTCCAGGAGTTAGCAGGAGACTAGGAGAAGGAAGGCACACCGGACGCAAGAAGTCTCCGAACTTAACAGGGTTATCCAAGAGCAGAAGGGCAATATCATTGTTGTAAAGATTCTCAGGGTTGGAGTTTGGGTGTTTGAAAATCCCTTGCAGACCACGACGTTCGGTAAAAGAGTAGGATGTTCTACGAGGCATTCCTAGTTTCAGTTTTTCACTAGAACATTGGAATATGCCTATGTTTGTCTATAGAAAATGTTTGGAATATTCCTATTGTTAATTTTTATCTAGAACATTTGCATATTCCTATGTTTTTCTGTAGAAAATGTTTGGAATATTCATATTTTGAAGTTTTTCTCTAGAACATTGGAATATTCCTATTAAGTTTTTCTCTAGAATGTGGGAACATTTCTATTTTTAAGTTTTTCTATAACGTGGAAATATACCTATTTTCTATAGAACGAACTTAAAAATGAATGCCAATTAGGTAAAAATTCAAAAAACCTGATTTTAAAAGAACAAGTACGACTGACGTAATTCACACGTGACACTTTTCTTAGCGAATAAGTAATTAAAGTGAGATGAAAAGAAAATATATAATACAACTATTTTTTTAAGTTTAATATGTTTTACTTTATCTTAGGCGGTAAAAGTTAGTATTACGAAACGTTATGACAGGTACGTAACTTAATGTGGACAGGTACATAACTTAATGTGGACAGGTACGTAACTTAATGTGGACGGTATGACAGGTAAGTAACGTAATGTGGACAGGTAAGTAACGTAATGTGGACGGTATGACAGACATGTAACTTAATGTGGACGGTATGACAGGTAAGTAACGTAATGTGGACAGTATGACAGGTAAGTAACGTAATGTGGACGGTATGACAGACATGTAACTTAATGTGGACGGTATGACAGGTAAGTAACGTAATGTGGACAGGTAAGTAACGTAATGTGGACGGTATGACAGATATGTAATTTAGTGTGGACAGGTACGTAACTTAATGTGGACGGTATGACAGGTAAGTAACGTAATGTGGACAGGTAAGTAACGTAATGTGGACGGTATGACAGATACGTAATTTAATGTGGACGGTATGACAGGTAAGTAACGTAATGTGGACAGGTACGTAACTTAATGTGGACAGGTACGTAACTTAATGTGG